TACTGATCATGAGTCCCTAAAAGAAGAATATGGAGGGGCTCTATCGTGGATGTTAATAAATAATGAATTAATCACTTATACATTGTTAGTGTAAAGTTTTTTTCACACTAGCAATCAATTATATCTTTTAATTGTGTCATGTCACTATAAACACATTTACTTTAAACAGTAACATGGCAAAGGGTTATGACTGTTATAAATGTTATAAACAGAGCATCAAATAAAATTGAATATAGACACAGCATTCTCCTGAAAACCATTTCACAAAGGTAAAGTCAATAGTGATACCACCACCAAGGGTGACAGCATTTTGAGTTGTGAGTACAACAAGGACCATTTTGTTTCACAGATTCAATGCTCCCACCGGTTCAAATTTCAAAATCAGTTACATTTAACATCACTGTGTGAACACAAAAGAAACAGAATAGAAAATATTCCTATAAAGGAGGAAAAAGTAAAGCTAGAAATGAAAAAGAAGAAAGGGTGATGGAAAAGTCTCATACACAGAGGCAAATTCAGGAGGAGTGAGGAGAGAAGGTTGTGGGTACTTCTCCTCAAGTATCCCCACAATTACATCAGAATCAGCCACCCATTTGCCATCAAACTGAACCACTGGCACCTTCCCTTCAGGGTTAACACCCAAAAACCTAACAATAACCAAAAACAATAAAATTGATACTATTATCACAGCGCGTAAGAGACACGCAATAAGAACAACGCACGTAAAGGTTCAACGAAATACCATTCGGGTTTATTACTAAGATCGATGAGGTGGAGTTTGTAAGAGACTTTCTTCTCCTCTAGAGTTAAGAGAACCCTTTGGGAAAATGGACCTAAAACCGAAATCAAACCCAGAAATAATAAAAACAAATAATCAAGAAAAAGACACATTTTTAGTGACAGAAAGAGAGAGAGAGAGAAAGAAACAAACAGTCTCCGAGAATGTTCGGAGCACCAACAGCGGCCTTGACAGCAACCTCGAGAGCCATTTTTGATGAACGGACACTGAACAAAACAATGTCGAACCACGGTTCTGATCTGCTCGCTTCACACCTTTTTATTACACCATTTTTCACCTTCTCATCTTCTTTCCCACTATTTAATGCACTTAATAATAACATCTTATCTTATTTTATTTATGTTCAAATATTAAAATATTTGTTTTTTTATCTGACGACTTCTACCACGGTCCCATTGCAAATATATATGGTCCACCATGATCTATTAATAAGTCATTACAAGTTTTTTTTTCTATAACTTAATTTTTTAAAATTAATATATAAAATAATTTGATATTGAACATGAGTTATTAAATAAAATAAGTTTATGTTAATTTATTCTTAAAATAAACAAATTCCTCCTTTTATATATATATATATGTTAATAAATAATGAATTAATCACTTATACATTGTTAGTGTAAAGTTTTTTTCACACTAGCAATCAATTATATCTTTTAATTGTGTCATGTCACTATAAACACATTTACTTTAAACAGTAACATAAAGTCAATAGTGATACCACCACCAAGGGTGACAGCATTTTGAGTTGTGAGTACAACAAGGACCATTTTGTTTCACAGATTCAATGCTCCCACCGGTTCAAATTTCAAAATCAGTTACATTTAACATCACTGTGTGAACACAAAAGAAACAGAATAGAAAATATTCCTATAAAGGAGGAAAAAGTAAAGCTAGAAATGAAAAAGAAGAAAGGGTGATGGAAAAGTCTCATACACAGAGGCAAATTCAGGAGGAGTGAGGAGAGAAGGTTGTGGGTACTTCTCCTCAAGTATCCCCACAATTACATCAGAATCAGCCACCCATTTGCCATCAAACTGAACCACTGGCACCTTCCCTTCAGGGTTAACACCCAAAAACCTAACAATAACCAAAAACAATAAAATTGATACTATTATCACAGCGCGTAAGAGACACGCAATAAGAACAACGCACGTAAAGGTTCAACGAAATACCATTCGGGTTTATTACTAAGATCGATGAGGTGGAGTTTGTAAGAGACTTTCTTCTCCTCTAGAGTTAAGAGAACCCTTTGGGAAAATGGACCTAAAACCGAAATCAAACCCAGAAATAATAAAAACAAATAATCAAGAAAAAGACACATTTTTAGTGACAGAAAGAGAGAGAGAGAGAAAGAAACAAACAGTCTCCGAGAATGTTCGGAGCACCAACAGCGGCCTTGACAGCAACCTCGAGAGCCATTTTTGATGAACGGACACTGAACAAAACAATGTCGAACCACGGTTCTGATCTGCTCGCTTCACACCTTTTTATTACACCATTTTTCACCTTCTCATCTTCTTTCCCACTATTTAATGCACTTAATAATAACATCTTATCTTATTTTATTTATGTTCAAATATTAAAATATTTGTTTTTTTATCTGACGACTTCTACCACGGTCCCATTGCAAATATATATGGTCCACCATGATCTATTAATAAGTCATTACAAGTTTTTTTTTCTATAACTTAATTTTTTAAAATTAATATATAAAATAATTTGATATTGAACATGAGTTATTAAATAAAATAAGTTTATGTTAATTTATTCTTAAAATAAACAAATTCCTCCTTTTATATATATATATATGTTAATAAATAATGAATTAATCACTTATACATTGTTAGTGTAAAGTTTTTTTCACACTAGCAATCAATTATATCTTTTAATTGTGTCATGTCACTATAAACACATTTACTTTAAACAGTAACATGGTATAATTAAAAAATATAATTAGTTGTTAGTATAAAAAAGACTTTTACACTAACAATATATAATTGATTAACTCATAAATAATATGTAAGATAAAATTGAAAAAACAAATCTAATGCATGTAGCGTAGATGTTATTATTCTAGTACATATATCTATTTATAGATAACAAACACATATCATTCTATATAAATAAATCAACCTTTAAATAAATATAAACATATATCTTACACAATAATATTTTTAAGAATTTCTCTTTTTCTTTTATTTTTTATTTAATTTATTTATTATTTATTATAAGTATTTACTAATTAAATTTAAATATTTTTAAAATAAAATTATAATAAATAATATTATACTATAA